GTGTTTGTGTGTCCTGAACTACAAATACAGATGGTGGTCAGCTTTCGATGTCCTCCCCCGGTTTCTCGTGCTTTTAAATGTACATGTACGAATTATGACGACAACGAGACCCTGGTCGTACGTTAGTAGCAGACGCAAGAAGCATGGTCGTGAAGATCATGTCATTCTTGGGTCATTTTTGGCCATTTTGGGACGTGTAAAGCTTCGTCTCCACCACATTCAGGCGGATTGTGACAACAATTGGGGAGTCTAGGAGTGTACGTACGATAACACAACATTTTGTATTACGACATCAAAGGCTTCGTTAGTAACAAGCTGTAAGCTTTAGTTTGTTTTCTGTTCTTTTTTATTTTACCGTAAGGGTTCTGTTACGATTCTTTTCTGCTTTCTTTTTTTCATTCATTCATTTTTTTTTTTTATTCTTTTCCTTTTTTCTTCTCCTTCTTTCCTTTCCTTTTCCTACTTTCCTTAATATTGCCCCCCTTCAAGCAACTTGATTTGCCTACCTTAATGTAAACTGTTCCCTGGAAACAGCTCGGCTCTCAGGTCTCCACATTTGCTCAGTCCCATCTTCCCGTCTCCATTTTTTCTTCGCCTCTCCTTTCTCAGCCCTTCCTCACCACTGCAGGACCAATGCGACGCTGATGCACGAGAGCGTGCGGCACAGCCGGAACCGTCTTCCTGCGCGGCCTAAAAATGGCGGTGCACATCGTGGAGCAGGGGATAGGTGGGCATGTGGGACAACTTCCTGGTCGTCGGGTGCCAGGTAGCATTCGTCCAGTGTTTTCGTAGCTGGTTGTCCATCATTCGAAATACAAAAATAAATTATGGGAATAACAGAAAAATAGCATTTCCCCTTTCTCCTCCTTTTCAGTATTCCATGTTCTGTGTCACAGATGGCGTCCGCTCTGCTCATCGCCGTTGCTGTCACCGTCCGTTGCAAAGCGTTGCATATCCTTTATGACCGAAACTGCTTGGTGACCTGCTCGGAGTATGCCGTGTGTAAAATAACAAAATAGTAGCAGCAGCAACAAGTGATCTGTCATCTTGTCTTGCATCGTTTGGAGACAGCACCAACGGCGAGCTTCTTCGCGCCGTTCTTCAAATCGGATTACGTAGCAGTGTTTGAATCTTGTACCTTGTATTTTGTATTTTGTATCTTGTATCTTGTATCTTGTATCTCTGTCGACAGGACCCCTTTCTTTCCATCAAAAAAGCGGAACAAAGAAAGTATTGCCACCCACATTGGCTAGCATTTGACATCCGCACGCTATAATGCGGGTTGGCCTATTTCCAACTGCTGGCTTGCTGTCCATTCACAACGCGCGCACATCCGTGATAAGTACTTTCTTGAGATCTCAAGCTAAGTGATCAATGGCTTCGGTTCACAACTAATATCGCCTTTGCACATTGTTTCCTATTCTAGACTTGCTACGACTGTCACAAGAACACAAATCTTGTTGATGGAGCCGTGACATGACTACGATATACAAAGCATACTCGGGGTCCTTATTGGTGTCGTGCTAGGGTTGCAGCGTAACAACCGCCCTAAATATGCGAATCCGATGCAAGTGTGCGGCGAGAGTCCACAGATCGGATGGCCTAGGACCACAAAAAAAGGAAGCCAGCTTTCTTTTCAGCTTTGGTCTTGGTCTGCGGGTCGCCTCTGGGAGAGACTCAGAGATAACAAACAGTGCCGCCAGATCGACCAGGATATGTGCGGGGGGTGATGCCCAGGCGCCATGATGGGAGTTTCTGGTGGAGTTTGATGGATCTTGGTGGAGTCTGAGGAGTCTCTGATGGAGTCTGATCCTTGTCGTGTGGCTTTTACTGCCTTTGTACGAAATACAGTCGCTATCTTTCCGTGAGGTGGAATTGGGAGAGTGGGCACCGTCGAAAATCATAAATATGAATCACAAAATGTCAAAGGAGATTGAGAACACAATTCGAGCAGCTCGATTCTACTCAATTGGCTAGGTCGGTCCGAACAAAACGATAAAGAGTACGATGTACTGGTTGCAACGGCAGGCCGACAGCGACGGAAAGGGAATGGACAAACGACGAGTTGACCTTTTTGAAGGCGAACAATACTACGTGCACCATAGCCAGTATTAGTATTGTACTTGAACTCGACGCGCACTTAAAGAACAGCGCTTAGTATCTACCACCGGCAAAACGAACGGAGGCAAATCAGAATCACACGAACAGCGGCTTTGGGGTAGAATGCGGTGTCCTGTGCTGCTCAGGGTGTTCTGATTGGGCTACGAGATGGACAACAGGAATTGCGGCTCCAAAGCTAAAACGTTGAGCCTGAGTTGTTTGTAGGTCGAGTAGGTCTACGGAAAACAAATACCTTTTTGCTTTCCGTCCGAGGGACCCTCGTCGTTTTCTTTCCTCCGGACACTGCGGCCTGGACTGGACCTGGACCACATTTTGCCCCGTACGATCCCCTAGCCTGCAGTATCCCATCAGACTAAAAGGGCGATCGACCCTGCATGTCTGGGAGTTGGACAGGGAAAAGATGCAGCTGTTGTTTTCGAGGAGGGACGGGCAAGACACAAAACAAAAGGGAAATAAAAAATAGAAGAAAAAGAGTCCGAAGCCTGCTGTGAAAAGTGAGACATGCCCCGCCTGGTGCAAGGCACGAGAGGGAGGAAAAAGAGACGTTGGGAGGTCTGGGAAACGACCGGGAGGCTTCGAGGGACCTGAATAAGTCCAGAAAATCCGAATATCGCCCCTGGCATCCTAGTCCAGTTGGCAGGGATCCGCGGGCAATTTTTTTACCAAAGTCGGTCCCTGTCTCACGAATTTACCAAGACGACATACAAGAGGAGGTGACAGGAAAAGCAACGAGACGCGTTGATAAGCTCGATCGAGTGAGACACGAAAAGGACATGGGATTACCAAAACGAAGAGAAACACAAGAAAGAAAAGAAGCAATTCAAGGAGAGACATGAAGAAACAAGCGAAAGTGGCTGGAGGAGGTACATACACACCGTCGAAAGCGGCAAAGGTACAAAACAAAATGAGGAAAGAAATCCCCAGTCTGTAAAGCGATTCGTGTCTCACCGAAAACTAAACTTGGCAACCCGCCGTTCGAGTCCAGCTTGCTTTGCTGCTGGTTACTGAGCTGTATTCTGGGGATGCCTCCGTCTACGTCGCTTTGGATCTCTCTCTCTCTCTCTCTCTCTCTCTCTCTCTCTCTCTCTCTCCCTCTCTCTCTCTTTCTTTTCCTTTTGTTCGTTTTACGTTGCTATCTACTGAATCGGGGCGGCGCATTACGCCGAGTGGTGCGATACTCGATTGGGACAAAAAGATCGACACGGCTTATCCTTCGATGTCGTCGTTTTTGCGCTTGGCACTCTTTTGGGGTTTGTGATGGGTTGCATGATTGTGCTGACAGCGACATCGACTCGCCAAATCGTGTGAAAAGATTGTAAACTGGGGATTTGAAAAAAGTGGGACCGCACTTATACCCATTTGGGCCACGAATTGCGGGTCTGCGGACACATCAGTGCAAAAGCGTAAAAGCGCAATTCAAAGCGGTCCCCATTGACAGCACCTCTCGATCCCCTACCAATTTCCTAGAACACCAAACACATCAATCCATCTTTGGTTTTCCCCGGTGAGAAATGAGAAGAAGTGAGAGGAAAAGCAGTGGTGGGCATTGCTTGGGGCATGAGAGGTGGCAGAAGGATGAAAGTCGCAACAGGCAGGCCAGGGTGGTTTTGGTTGAGTGACAACTGTTATGACTGTTCTTGGAGAATTATGGTTCCGTTTGGAAAACATGACATGGGAACTTGCTGCCCTTTTTTCGTCCATGTTATTTTATTTTATTTTATATAATTTTTTTTTTTTCATCTTTACCATTGATTTAATTTATTCCGATTTATGTTTACTTTAATGATACATTTATTTTACAAGCCACTTTTATTATACTTTCTATTTTGTTACTTGTCAGTCGTCCTCAAGGCTGGACCCCTGCAAGCTGCTTCTTTCATGCACACGCCCTCTCCATCCCAAACTTGCACCGCCCGTCCTGTTTTTGCTCTCCTCTTTTAAAATAGTGTCTTATTGCATGCATTGGTGACGCGCTCGAGGAACCCCGTCTGTTGGTTCCGTTCTTTTTGGTTCTCATTTTTGGATACTCTTTTTAGACATGACGCAAACAGCCACTGGACTGCTCTAAAAATGGCAAGTGAAAATCGATCTGCAAAAGCTGCAAAGTGTAGCAATCCATGACCAAGCAGTGGGAAGGCAATGGACCCGGGATCCTGCTATTTCACATGTATTGCGTCGTACATTTGTCCTCGTCCTTTGTCAGCAGTACGGTTAGTGAGTTGCCAAGCAACAAAGACAAAAACACCGCGACCAAGTCGACTCCGAGGACAGGTCCAGACAGTTTAGAGAGCAATAGTGTAGAGACCAAGATTGGTTATTATTCGTATTTGTGACAAAACCTAACCTAACACAATAAGCCCTATTTCTTTCCAAAGGACGGTTGTCCTCCTTTTCCCTCCGAAAAGTTGCCACCCCGAACAGAAACGTTGCTTTTTGCGAGTCACACGAGACAAGAATAGAGGAAACAAAAAGCCATTTCCAACAGTACCGTTATTCCAGTCGACATGGCCGAAATGTAGAAAAAAGAAAAAAGAAACGAAAAGCGCAAATTGTCGTAAACGATGATGACAGTACATGAAATGCAAAAAGTACAGAAAAGTCGTAAGCCATATAATGCATCATGGAAACACGCCACGTAAACGCCTTGTAAACGCCTTGTAAACGCCATGAAAACGCCATGTAAAAATCCGCCAACCGCAAGTAATGAGGTAATGAAAAACATCAATGTGTAAGAACAACATAATAGTGGCACATGTCGCTGGGCCGAAGAAGAGAAGAAAAATCCAAAAAAGTGCAAGAGTCCAAGATGCGCCAAAGGGGGATATAATGAAGAATTCAAAGCATGAAAAGAAAACACAAGGCAGAACAAGGAAAGGTCTTTAGCGCCGGAGACTGTTGACCTCCTTGCGGGACCGCGACTTGGTGATGTGCTTCATCTCGTGCTCGTAAATCCGGACGGCGGCAGGGTAGTAGTCTGTGCGGGCGTTCTTGCCGCGGGTGACGGTGTGGAGCTTCAGGTGCGACCGCCAGTTGTCCTTGCGGTTGAAATGGCGGCCACAGAATTCGCACGGGAAGGAATCCTTGTTCTCGTGGTGACTGAACGTGGTTGTTAGTAGAGAGCAAAAGGAGGTATCATGTATACATAGAAATACATAGAGGAGCCAACGTACGTTGTGACATGGCGCTTGAGGTGCTCGGAGCGCTTAAAGGGCCGCGAAGGGCAGCCGGCCACGATGCACTTGTAGGCGCCCGAGGCAACGCGAGACACCTGGATGCCGTTGCGGGTGACAATGGTGCCGGTGCTGGCCGGGTTCGTGGCAATGTGCGGGCCGTAGCCGTGGTTGTCGTTGGCATCGACGGCACCCTGCAGAGCGCGGGCGCTGGACTGCGCACCCATGTAGTGCAGGGCACGGCGCGCGGGCGACGTGCCGTAGGGCGACTCGGAGGAGGGCGAGAGGTAGGCGTCGGCACCCTCGTTCTTGACGACGGACGACTTGAGCGTGGCCGACGGCGGCGGCGGCGGCAGAGACGGACGGTCGCCAAAGTAGTTGATGGCAGGGCTGTCGGGGCGGTTGTTCCAGCAGAACTCGGACGGCGAGTACTCGGTGCCGTCGTGCGCGAGGTGGTGACCCTGGGGCGTCGGGTAGCTGCCGCGCGCGTAGGGCGAGGGCAGAGGGAACTGGCCCGCGAGGCCGTTGCTGGCCTTGGACGGCAGGGTCTCCGGGAAGGGGTAGGCACCAGGCGTGGCCGGGTCGCACAGCACGTTGTCGTGGTGCGGCGAAGCACCAGACGACGACAGGGTGGCCATGGAGGTCATGGAGGACATGGAGGACATGGAAGACATGGAGGACATGGACGCAACGGAGGCAGGGTAGGAGTGGGCCATGATGCCGTTGGGGCTGCCGGGCGAGCCGGCGGAGACGTGGCTGCTGAAGCTGGCGTTGCGCTCGGGGGTGGCCGGCGGCTGGGGGAACGCCGAGGACGACAGCTGGTAGTTGGAGGCCATGCCGGCAGCCGTGGTGGTCGGCGGCATGTTCATGCTGAAGAAGGGCATGGTGGCCGAGCTGGGCGGCGTCATCTCGAGGGGCATCTCGGCAAAGGACGCGTTGGAGCTGTAGTCAACGGATCCCAGACGCTGGCTGCCGACCGGTGACGAGCGGCCCGACATGGAGACGGGTGTGAAGGCATCGTAGCTGGAGCCGACGGGGCCGGAGGCGGACGAGAAGCTGCCGTGGTTGGAAGAGACGTCGCCGTACATGGCACTGGGCTGGGAGTGGAACTCGAGCTTCAAGTCCATCATGTTGGCGATGTGTATGTGAGGCTGTGAGGTTGTGAGGTTGTGAGGCTGTGAGGTTGTGATGTTGTGAGATTGTGAGATTGTGAGAATGTGAAAAATGAAAAACGGGCAACTGTCAAAGGACCACGAAAAGAACCCAGAGCACAAGGCAAGAGGAATGCTCAAAGATTGCTGTGGGCAGCTTGAAGCTTGAAGGGAGAGAATGGAAGGTTATGAAGAAGTGGATGTGAAGAAGTGAATGATGAAGAGGAGTGAGTTAGATGGGAAGAATGATATTGGAAAGAATGAAGGGACGAGGGAGCAGTTATATACCAAGAAGGGCAGCAAACGGCGATCGAGAGGAAAGAAGTACAGTCCACGGCCGAGGAAGGAGCCTCTGGTGCATGGAGTCCGCAGTATGGCGTCGTTTGAGCAATGCACGTATGGGCCGTCTGCGTAGTGTGTGTAGTGTGTAGAGTCTGCGTAGTCTGCGTAGCTGGGTCGCTCTTTCCACTTACACCAACTGACAGGGCGTGCCCAAAATGGCGACCCGTCGTCGCCCTTTGGAAGGGACAGGGGGGACATTACCCTACTGGGAAGCCGCGATGGAGTTGCTCCAAGTATGTCGTACACCCTCTGAGCAGCGGCTCATAGGACGAGGTCGATCTGTGTGGACCCCAGTCCAGGTCCATTTGTGGCGACGGCCATGTACTTCCATAGGCTGGAGCGACCAGCAGGCCAAGGAGCCGCTCGAAAGAATGCGGTGCGTTGAGAGTTCTGGGAGAACTGGGAGCCTGCATACAACAGAAGAAAGTCAAAGGCCAGCTAAAGTCAGCTGGTGGGGGCAGGGGGGGGGGGGGTGGAGTGGATGGGCTAGTGTGGTAGGGCGTGCAAACAAAGTCGCGTTGGAGTCGAGTGGGGAAGGCACTGGAGGAGGGAAGGAGGAAGGAGGAAGGAGGTAGGAGGGGCGTGCCAGCTTGGGGAGGGAGGTGTGCGCCGTTGGGACGGCAGCGACGATGGGGGATGGGGTGTACAGACCAAAGGCAGTAATGGACGTAGCACAGAGACCGTGGAGAGGCCCCTTTGCGTTAGGCTGGCTGCTGGCACCTACAGTGGCACCTACAGCGACCAAGCGCACGGGCTGGTGCGCTGTTGGACGCGCTTTCCTGGGGAGGCGTGAGGGTTTGGCAGGGGAAGGCGCAAGCCGCGACCAGCACCAACTGCACCTGCTCGACCTGCCCACCACCCTGCACGGCTGCGTCTGCACTTATCACGCCTCGGCCAATGCAAGGCCCTCACTATTCTTGTCCCCTGTTGAAAGAGATACGACGCAACGAATAGACGGCGCACCCGCGCACTTTGACATTCGACATTCGACACGCTCAACTCGCTCGAAGCCGTTTGCGTCCCGTTGCACCAGCCAACGGGCAGCCGGGCACTGCGAGCAACGGCGGAACCGCTGCAACGCATTCGCTGCAACCGTCGCCCTTGGCTCGTCTTGTCCTCTGTCCTGGTCAGTCTTCCTTTCTTGGCTTTCCTGCTTGTGCGTCTGCCGTGTCTTGTCGTCTCGTCGTCTCGTCGTCTTGTCGTCTTGTCGTCTTCCCATTGCGGCTGGTGGGGAGGAAGGCGGACAGAATCTCGATGCTCACGGCGTGCCTGGCAAAGGGGCGGGGGACGAACGATCCTCATTCAAGACTCCACTCCGTCTGCCCACCCTCTCGATCGCATCGTGCTCGCCTGCTCGCCTGCCCGTCTGACCAGTCTCTGTCTGCGCGTCTGTCGACGAGCTCCGCTTAGCCTCGCATCATCCGCCCTGTGCCTGGCCCACATCGAGCACGCGCTGCGCAGCAACCCATTTGACACTTTTAACTCTTTTGCTCTTTCGCTCTTTCGCTCTTTTGCTCTTTCGACTGTGTCAACTCTTTCGGCTCTTTGACTCTCTCGAATCTCTCGACTCTTATTTTTTTCCTTGGCAGTGCATACATCCACAATTTGCTAAATGGATCCATATTGTCTTGGAGTTCTTTTGTGTCGGCCGGCGTCGGGCTGCGTGGGTTTGCTGTCGTTTTTTTCTTTCGCTTTCCTCTTTCCTCCCCGCTAGGAGAGTTGCCAGCGTGTTTTGGCAACCTTCTTGACGCAGGGAGACGACACGAGATGAAGAAGTCGTCCCTTTCTTCAAAGCAAGTCCGCGACCCAGCGAGTTCTCCAGTCGTCCATTCTCATGGTCTCCGGTGCTCGTCTTCTTTACCAAGCGATCCGGTGCCATGGCCCAGCCCATGGTCATGTCTTGCCTTGCCCTGCCGTGGCCGTCTCGATCGTGTCGAGAGCTTCGTCGCGTCTTATTCGTGGGTTTCGTGTTCTAGTCGTGTAAAGATGACTTGGACGACCAAAGAGCTTACGGGAACATCACTCCACGGCCTCAATGCAATGGCCTGGACGGATGGGCACTGACTGATTGTCGAGATGACGCTACTGATTCCCTGGCGGCGTGGGCCCTTCAAAAAAGGTCTTGGACGCGCTCTTCATGTCTGTTTCTGGTCTGATTGTCTCGTCGTTCTTTTCCCCTCTTTTCCTCCATCTGCTTTCTGAGCTCTCCTTCTGCGCACATCGGACATCCCAAGATCCGGCCAGGGGCACCGTGAAGAAAAGATGTTCCAGTGGTCGGCCTGTGTGTCTGAGGGAGCTGGACGTGTCTTGGCCGGCTCCATTGTCTCCATTGCCAATGAGCATCCTTGAGCGTCTTGAGCGTCTTGAATGTCTTGAATGTCTTGAATGTCTTGAATGTCTTGGTGTTCTGGGTTGTCTTGTTGAGTGTCTCTCCGCGCCCTGCAGCCATCCCAAATAGTCGAAATGCGCCCAAAGCCCTATAGTCCCTGTGGTTTTGCATTTTCTTTTCTTCTCTTTTTCTTTTGCCCATTCCTCGCTGTTGCTGGTTCATCCTCTTTCCGTCCCACTGGGCCTCTTGCAGGCTTTCCGTTTCTTTCTCTCTGATTTCCTGGTTCGAATATTGGCGTTTGCCACAGACGGCCAATCGCCTGTAAGAAACATACGTCAGTTCTACAAGATGCTGTCCCTTATCTCTACGACAGACGCAGACACGGTATGATTTGTCTTCTTTCCCCTCCATCTCTCCATTTTTTCGATATCGAGTCTCCGCCTCCGCCTCCAATTCCACTCACTAACCTCTTTCTGCCGTACGTTGCCTTCTCATAGTCTCCATATACGACGCCATTCCTCGCCCAAAAAGCAAAAGGATACCCTACATCGGGGAGACAAGTACAGAGTTTGGCCTATCCCAATGAATTGGACCAATGACGTTGCCGGCCAACCAAGTGGACGCTGCTGCTCTCTGCTGGCTTGTGATGGGCGAAATCGAACATGATCAGCATTGATGTGCTCTGGGAATTTTTGGAGCTAACATGGATCAAGCAAAAGAGAAGCGGGCGGGCTTCTGGGTGTCTGCCCCAAAAGCTCCTCCCCTCCCCTCTTTTTCCTTTTTTCCCCTTCTTGTGCCTCTTTCCACACCCAAGAAAGAGAGAGCCAAGAGCCACCAGTGGGTGCGCGCGCGCCCGAGGGGCTGATTTGCCCGTGATGTGCCGCGATGGGGCTCTGTCTGTGCTATGCCGCCGGGACCAGGTCTGATCGGTGATGTGCACAGGGAAGTTTTTCTTTTGGGGACTGAGTAGAACAGGGCCGAGAGACAAGACACACGGCCGCGAAACAGAAAGCAGAGACCCGACCAGCCAGCCAGCGACTGCAGTACAGCACTATACTGGAATTCTGGCTTGCCATTTTATTTTATGGACGGGGAGCGAGGGTCCGATCTCTTGTCGCCTTTCGGTGGAGATGTTCGCCGTGCCGACGTGACTTCTATTGGTGCGCGTCGCGTCACGACGACAGGGCGAGTGCGGTGGGACCGAAAACCAAAACCAAAAAAAAAAAAAAAAAAAAAAACCAAGGAACCAGGAACAGGGGACAAGAACAGGAACAGGAACGGGAACGGGGAAAGGGACAAACGATTGGTCCAATGTCCCGGTGGGAGGGAGGAGAGACGTGCTGCGAGTGGGTGTAAGTTGGATGAGAGGATTCAAGGAAAGAAGGAAGCGTCTCCGGTGCATTCACATCATCAAACCGTGAATGTGCGCCACACAAACGCAGATGCAACTGCAACCACCCGTCGCATGTACCGTGTGCAACGTACTACGACCTATAGGTCAAAGACATATGCTGCTCCCGAAGTACGGGACATTGAGATACAATTTTGGAATAAAAAGTAATAAAAAAAATACACAAAAGACCGTATCCACATATGCCGCGGCACCTCAGGCATAGCAGAGTTTCCCGTACAAAACAGTAAGCAATGGCCCTCAGGGATTGGCTGCTCGGGGTTTGCCTATTATAGTAACACGAACGACGTCGGGTCAAGATGCTACGACGCACGACGCCGCGCTGTGTATAAACGGGAGGCCAACGAACTACAGTCAGACCATTGGAGCAAGAATGCAAAACGAAAAGGGCGTGACGACATGGTGTGACGGCCGGGGGACATACAGGTGGCCAAAGACGACAACCGGCCGCTGACTACGGATTGTGAGGTATGCAAAGTGCAAAAATGGGAATATCTCGTAGGGGCTGCGACTAATGCGTGGCAAACGACGAAAGTGCACGGTCCGGAAGCCACAATCCACTTCCGCGTTCGCGCCAAGATCCTTTTTTGGATGGGAAAGGTCAAGAAAAAAAAAGGGACAGAAGTAAATAAATTAAAAAGAGGAGATATGAAAAGACAATGGACGTCGTGGAGAGAACATGACAGAGGGGACGACAAATGAGACGAAAATGAGACAAGAAAAGCCAACGTGAGAGGGCGAGAGGGCGAGAGGGCGAGAGGGCAAGGCCGAGTCTGGACCGCCGCCACGAACGACTCGGCGATATCAACCGTCCATTTCCTGCCCAACCTTGCGCCGACGGGGCGTGAGCTAGAGATGCGAACCGACATCGTGTCTGTCTGGAGCGAGAAACGAACG